CGGGCCGCAGTAAAATTGTCAAGCGTTGACCGGTCCGCAGTGATAAAAAGGTTGGGGACCAATGCTTTTCTGGATACTAATACATACCTTTCTGCATGTTCTTTTGATCAGGTGCCAGCATGTTTGCAGAACTCACGCACTGAATGGAGGGCAACATTCAAGGGGAATTACAACATGGCGGCTGCTTCAGGTAAAGCCGGAAAATGTATTGTAATGACCCCCGGCGTTTAAAAAAACAAAAAGGTAGTTTGTATTCTACTGTATCTTGCATGGGTTTCCTTGGGCTGGAGCCTCAAATGCACAGTGTTTAACACCACATATTGTGTCTGTTTAACTGTTTGATCAGGAAGAACAGTGACACTGCCAACTAACCAGTATCATCTGACTTATAAACTGTTCTGACTACACTTTCTCATGCTGCTAGTTGTGCTAATTTGTCCCTCCACTCCTCTCCTTTTCTATTTTCTTACTACTACCATGCATGTGTTACCATCTCTGACGTTCTCTGTCACGTATATTCCATATCTCTGTGATGCAATATGTGTCTGCTGGGTTTTTTCTGTACACCCCTTCAAAGTCAAAGTCTGTCCAACATTTTTTTTTTTTAAGTAATACCTCTAAGTAAAACAATTCAATATATCATTTGGCTTCTCTCTCCCTCTTTCTTGGTCTCTCTCTCTCATACATTTAAACAACCAAAAAATACACAGATCCACAAAACTGCATTAACATTGATGGTCAAAGAGGAGTGTATGCCAGCAAAACAACATAATGTACCATAGAAAGCTGGTGATTCTGTGTGAAAAGCCCAAACAAAAAGCCTATACCAAGAGGAAGTCCCATCACCAGGGTCAGCATTTTTTAGGACAGACTGAATATGAGTGTTTATCCAAACACCCAGATAATGGAGTCTCATTCCTCTGGAGCACAGGAAATACTTCTGTGAAGAATGTCTACATGTTCTCCAAATACCATATTTCACAACTGAAACTAGGTCTACTGAAAAACCAATTTATTAGGAACACTGCACATTGATTGCAATCAAATAAGGTAAGTATTTACTTTGTGATCCCTTTTAATGTCAAGACTATGTCAGTAAAACAAAACATTCACTTCCCTTTCTAACCATTAGGGCATATACAGCAGTTAGTTGTAGTCTGATACTGCTTTTTTGTTGTTGCTTGCAGTAATATTGCTGTTCTCTTGTCTTTTGTTCCTTCCATCTTGTGCCAAATCATTTTTTGTGAGGGGAATCATATTTTTATATATATAGTGTGTACCTGAACATTGTGATCACATTATGAACATTGTGGATGCTTTGTTGTTAAAAGTATCTACACATTATCTTGATCTTTAGTCAGAAAAACTTGTAGTCACTCCACAACTGCTCATTGTCATATAACAATTTGATGCATGATAGCCAATTGTTTCCAATTCATTTATAGTATTTTGATATGAAAAATGTGCAACTGTGTTGAAGGGTTGAAAACAAAGTGAAAATAGTAATCTGATGGTCTCACTGGTATAAACATAGTATTACTTTTTGTGCCATTGTACAGTACTGTATATTTATTTCAGATTACAGCATAAACTCTTTTTGCATTGTTGCCACATGTTTTATGTACTGTAACACTAATAATAATGAAATAACGTGTGCATAATTTGTGCCTAAACTCAACTACAGCACAAAAACCTGTGTAGCTGTCTCATCTATGCACCACATCAGTGTCACTGTGCAGTTGTTACAGTAAATTCACTGTTTGGTGTTTTATGTGTTATATCTTATAAACAGCTAGGACATTTTATTTTTGTAAAGGCCACATTTGCATCCCTGCCTGAATTAACAAAATCACATACAGTACCTGAGAAATCCTTAAATGCATGAAGCATATAACACCTAATATTTTATGAAAGATATTTCAGTATCTTGTCACATCTGTTCTACAGCATTTTGTTTGCATCTCTGCATTCTGTTGCACTTGCAGATGCTGGCTCATATGTAGCACAGTGAATCACTGCTGTAGGTGTGGGGCACAGCATACACATTCCACTCTGAGCACACAGCACATATGTACAGTAAATTTATTTATTACATATGATATTTTAAAAGGTGTTTGCTTTTAGAGAAATGCAAATTTCATCACCACATGTCAAAGAAGCTGTATAATTGTCACCTACTCTTGAGCTGTCATTTCACTGAATGTCAGAATCACCTTGTTGCATCGTTCTCAGGAGGAAAACAATAAAATCATGAGCTACCAACGTAAAATAATTTTCAGATCGAATTAAAGATCTGACCATTAACAGTACAACATGAAAAACATGTGAACTATGGTTAAGTAATCAAATTTAGAGATAGTAAGTAATAATCCTTAAGATTGTCATGTAATCAGATCCCCGTTTCTGTTTGTGGTTAGCAAATTTTGTTCAATAGCCATTCAGTCTATTTACATTCAGGGGCAGGGTTCATAATTTCTGCTTCTAGTCAAAATGTCTTCACATGCCTGAGGCAACAATGCATGCAGCAGTGATACATACATGTTAGCCAGTGTTAATGTTAGTAATTATATCACCCTGTTTACTCCATTTTCACTATATCATTTCTGTATTGTGGTACTGTCTAAGGAACATTTCCTGTTTTTGCTGCTTCATGTTAGAAGTGTTAAACTGTTCATGTTAGAAGTGATTTTGTCAGTGGGGTTAGCATTATACAATCAATCACAGGGAATACTTAGGCAAACCAAACAATGGTCATTCTTTTGCACACATCAGTTTAAATCTTGCAGGAAGTGATAGAACAAGAAGAATGAGACAGTGATAGATGAAGAGTTGCATACAACAGACTCTGCATCACCAACTTGTGCAGCTGCTAATGTGAGAAAAGCATGAGATGTGTAGCATAAAAATCACATCACTTGCTCATAGCATGATGAAAGGCAGCCAGTTATTATTTCTTTATCAAAACACAAGTTAGCAGATTGTTTGCTGTCCCTAGAACCTGTAGTACTAAATGGCACTTGCCATTATCGCTAGTAGCCATGCGTCAAACTCAACCAGAAGTGGAATCCTAAGGATTATAACTTTTTTTGGAATATTACTAAGCCATCATCTGCATCCCAGATCATGTGTACTTTGATATATTTATTCAAGTTTGTTGCTTTTTTTGGTGTGTCCTGCAACAGAGTGGTAGGAGCCCACAGACAGCCATCACAGGGATTTCCAATGGACACTCAACACTTAATAGGAAACAACAGCTCACTCAAATGGAGAGGTAGGTAGAGATGGCATTCTGCATTATAATACCAAGTCCGTAGCAGTAGTGTGTTTTCCAACAACACGTGCTATTTGAATAAATCAGATTATTAATAAAAGAAAATATATAAGTTCACTGAATTTCACAAATTACAGTAACAGGTCAAAAAAGGATAAACAAAGCACAAAACAATGTCCATCATTAAAATCATGCATCAGTGGAATATTTGTATATACATTCTTCAAAAGGTTTAGATGACATATGTGCCATCTGACCAGTGTTGGTAATTGAAGAAGAAACCCCAAGACAGTGTAAACATACAGCTTACATACTGAGAGTCTTGTTTTCTGGAAAGCGCCCTTTCTGCCAGCTGAGCTTCCTGTTTCTGTTTTACTGAAATAAGAAAGGACAAATGGGGACACAACACAAATATGCAAGGATATGGAGAAGTACTATGCCCAGTACTGACTGTCTGTATGCCGACTTACAATTTGATGGAACTGACAAATGCAAAAATATGACCTGCTGTCTTCCTTTTGCTGTTAACACAACATTAAACAGGATGTGCCCAGAGAATCACAGTATTCCAGGCTGACCCATTAAGACAGTAGAAAAAACAAACACTGTAGCTCTTTTGAGTCACTGGGTATCTCTGTCTGGCCCTGTACTGCATGGATGTATGCACCTGGGAAGACACTGTCCCCTAATTGTATTTGGGGACTTACAGCTGAACCTTTTCTGGAATCACTAATTTCAGCACCGGCACAATTAAAAAATAAAATTTGAAATTCAAACTGAACCATTTGGTGGTGGTGGGTGGGTGGGGGGTTACAAATACAGACACCTCGTTTGAAAGTCAGTTGTGCAATCTAGCATGCATAGCTGCAATATGATCCAGGCATCTAGACTGTTGGTTCATTATTGGAATATGCAATATGCATCATGTTATGGTGTGTGCGTCTACTATAAACCCCCACATTCTTATCTTCTTACCAGTGCCAGCGGTACTCTTGTTTGCCATGGACCCAGGATAATGGCACAAAATAGCAGAGGCAGACAAATATCATCAACAATGAACCAAAACAAATGGATTCCATTCACATTTCAATGGAATAGTAATCAGGGTAACTCTAGTGTGGCAGCTTTCCACCACCTGATCAAGACCTGTAAAATAAACAGACAGCATATAACATTTTTGTTAAAAGAGCTGTAATATTACAACTTTTTCATATTGATGCAATATGAGATAAATACACAAAATACAAGCAAGGTGTTTTTCTATTCACATTTTCAATGTCTTTAGACCATTTTATAGCAGTTTGCTGACTACACTGTGATGCCAGTGATACAAA